ATATTTCAATTTACTGATTTGGTTTTTTTTTTATTTCTTTGATTTGAGTATAAATCTAAATCTAACAACGGTAGGAAAAGGAATAATTTCACATGCTGTGTGCTTTATGATGTGAAGTGAATCAATTTAATTAACCTCTTATTTTGCTTTTTAAATGAATCATATATGTTAGATGTTTCTAGTTCTCTGAACATTTTGGGAAGCATATATGACAAACTTAACTTATCTACCAAATGATGTTGGGATATTATGCAAGGACTTTAAGTTCATGGAGCATGTTACTTTGAGCAGGGAAATAATTTCTTATCATATCCTCTCTGATGCCACTAAAGTTGTTTGTAGATTAACTTTACACTTGAGTTCCAAAAGTTAGACTTTTAAGAATTAAAAGTTTAGCAAAGGACTGTTTTCTTTTTTGCCTTTTCATTTGATGCTAATTCTTAATTATCAAAAGTTGCTTGATTGAGCAATTATATCTGAGATTATCTTATATCTTTGATGCAAGGCAAACATTTATCATTACTTATATCTCCATAAACATGTTTTTGTTTTTTAATAACAAAAGATGTACACATCCTTATAGACATGATATTCTCCATCAAGATTTTTTTAACGATCTCAACCTTTGATTTTCAAGCCTAGTTACCTGCATAAGTTTTGTCTTCTCCCACATTTCATATTGCATTAGTGATACGCGACAACCCAAGCGTATTGAGCTACTTGAGCCACACGTCACTTGAATCCAATCGTATAGTTGGTTCAACCCGAAAGACCAAGGTTAGAGGGATTACCTTTGCAGTCGTGACCTTGAGCAGACAGATGACTCACTATACTCGATGCCGGAAACACTCCACGAGTTTGATGACCAATCAAACAAGCATGCTCCGAGGGGTTCAAATACGAAGGCTTAAGTTCAACCACATAAAGGGATTCAAGATTTGAAGGGGGTTTGCACATGGTAATGAGAGAAACTCAATTCTATTCCAAAGACAAATTCAAGGTTCTAAGGTTGTGTTACAATGGAGAGGAACAAGCCTATTTATAGACCAAGRCATTCGGCCTTTTAAGGAAAATAACAAAATTAAAAAGAAAATTAAAATTGATAAATCCCTAAAAAGTCTAAAACTTGCCTAAAAGTGAATTTAAATTTGATAAATAAAACAAAGAAATCAAAGATAAAATCCTAAAGCAAATCTCCCCAAATAATCCAAAATAATAAGGAAATATATTCCATAAGTGGGAGGAGTGGGCGGCAAGGAAGGCTGGCGCGCACGGAGGCTGGGCAGACAAGTAGGGCATACGCGCGCGGGGCTGGGCGGCATGCTAGATGTGTGCACGTGGCGCTGGCTGGCACTGGCACGGTGGCATGCGCACGGGCACTGGAAAGGTGCTAGCGCGGGATGCGGGACAGGGGCGCTAACACGGGGTGCTGGTGCAGGGCGCTGGCGCTTGGTGGGCAGTATGGTGTGGGTGATGGGGC